ATTGTATTTGTTGACATCTAGACTAGTAGAATTTTTCAAAAAGCCTGGAAAACAAAAGCCTAAAAAGTCTTTTTATATGCCAGTTGGTATTTAATTATATTTACCTCTAATAAAAAAGTTTTTATTTATAGAAAATTGTTCAGTATTTCTTGAAATTCCTTTTAAATGGAACTCTAGGGTCGAGAGATGGCTTCAGTGTTTTAATGACCCGTCTTGGCGCCTTTCTGCGATGATCTCTGCCATTGCCTTGACCCTCATTTATGTCACACACTTACAGTTTTAATGGGTAAGAAAATGGTAACAGATCAGGCAGGGCAAACCAAACTCTGACTTCTGCTTCTCTTTAATAAAACTTTTACAGTTTTCTATTCTTTTTTTTAAATCATGTACGACAAATTCAATGTTACCAAGTTGTTAAAATTCTGCTACAAAGATCCCCTGACATCACAACACATTCCTCTATTACAGTGGAAACAAGTAGGACATTTACAAGGCTGAACATTCATATCCAGGAGCATGGAATGTGCTGCATGCTTCCTGTACTTGGGACAATGCTCACATCTCTCTCTATGCTTCTTGCTGACAAGAAGTCTGTCACAGGTAACATTTTTCTTGCAGACTTGCACATTGTCTTTCTATTCATTTGCATGCTCAGGCAGTTTCTGGGAAGAACTAGTTTTTAAAAATCAGAATCTACCTTTATTTTATTAATTTTGATGCCTTTAAGATTGAATATCAAGGCTTACCTAAACAAAACCTTGACATTCCATAGGCATCACAGTTAGTTTTAACACCTGAATATAGTGAAGGTTTTACTTTATTGGTTAGTGTTCCCTGAACTCTGGCAAATGGAAGTGGCTTAAGTAGGGTTTCTGGGATTTAATGAAATACTGTTAACATGATCACATCCATATGAATTTTAGATAACAGGTATTTATTATAAATATTTTCTTGATCTAAATTAATTGATTAAGAATTAAAGATGAACTGTTCTAGTTCCTACTTGTCTGTACTTCTGCTGGCTGGCATTTCCCGTACAACCATTATGTCCGCAGGCACTGGAAGTGGATGATGAACATTTTCTACTTACTGCATCTTCATTATAGGTGGCGCCTTTTACTAACTAGCCCCATTGTTCCATTTTGAAGCTTTTCTACTTCAATTCTCTTTTTTACAATGTCATTATCCCTAGCAACTGGATCTGTCTCATATACTTAAGATAGCTATTTTACCTTTAAGAACAACAAGTAAAACATATTTCTAGTACTACAGATATAACAAATAGATATAAACATGCATACATTTATACATATAGACTAGAAATACAGCTTTCTAGGATGGACACGGACACACACACACACACACACACACACACACTCCGCTCTTTCTCTCTGCCTTTCTGAAGAATGAACCCAAGACCTTGACATAACTGTTGACCCCCACACCTATCTTCATTTCCCAACCCAAATTCACTGGCATTTTAAGTGAATTAAATGTGGTGAAAGGCTTTTTCTTTTTAATTGTTTTAATTGGGGTTGGAGGTTTAATTGTCTTTATAAATGTTTGCCTTACCCATACCATTCCTTTTTTATGTTAGATTTTATTGGAGGTGTTTACAGACTCTTAGTTTTATAGGAATTTTATTTTCCTTTATAACGACTGGGGACTAGTAATAAGAATACCCTTTATAAACAGAAGACAGAGGGCTTGTGTGCTCTGACTGCTCAGTGAGGTTTCTAGTTGTCTTGTCTGTCTCCAGAAACCACAACGTCTGGACTGAGAGCACTTGTAGATTAGAACTTGGCTTCTGAGAGTTGGTTGGATAACTAAGGTGATGTCTCTTATTCAGCCTCCAGGAGACACTGTGCTCTGCAAAACCTAAGGGCAGTTTATTCCTAGTTAAGCAAATTAGGTGGCACCTGAGATCTCATTCACTTTCAAGCTTATTTAAAATAAAACTTTAAGCTGCTTTATATGTATTCTCTCCTGCTTTCTAACTAGATTTTACCTGATTCCAGCAGAAATATAAACAGTCACCTGTAGGGTTCTCTCTGGTAAGTTCTCCTCGTGGGTCTCCTGTGGACCTTAGCTATCTGTAGATCAGACTGGAGGCACAGCTCACCTGAGTTTTCAAGCGACCATCTTTTACAGGCCCTTCTCCACTTTGGATAGAATGGTTGACTTGAACAATGACAAACTTGAGCTTCTCCTGTCTGAGGCTTTTGCTAAGAGAAACCAAATCTATCTCCAGCTTTTAGGGATTCTTTCCTGGTTCTGGTTTACTTAGCCACACCTAGCTGACTAGAAAAAAAAAAGATTCAACAGAAACAATTATCAACATTAAAACACATCTGCCTCATTTAGAAGTGGGTTGTATTCAATTGGATAGTTATGCTTTGAATTTCCCTCTTTTGTGCTTCATGTCTCTTAAATACCAAGGTGCATACATTTATTTTCATTTATTCAGTCATTCATTTGTTGCTAATTTGGAGGGAACTTCACAGATCACATCCATGGAGCTCTGCTACAGTCAATGTTGTAAACTTGGTGCTGGAGAACTAACAGGTTGATATGATAGACTATGACGAAGGTGAACCATAAAGGTAAAATGGATGCAAAATTTCAGACAATTTTCTTATTTCTAGTACCCAAATATTTCACAGCAATGAAGTAGATTCTAAGGAAACACAAAGTCAGGCACATACATCAGCTCAAAACTACATCAAAGAACAAGCTTTTCACACACCCACTGGGTGCTTTCAGGATAAGCTAGGGTCCCAAGTCTTTATAGAAGTTTGTTCTTCAAAGCTGCATTTACATGAGAACTGAAGGGGCAAGTGGAAGAGACAGAGAGAGCAAGGGAAGAAGGAAGGAGGGAAGGGAAGGGGGAGAGGGAGGGAGGGAAGAAGGAAGGAAAGAAGGAAAGAGGGAGGAAGAGAGAGAGAGAGACAGAAATAGAAACAGAGACAGAGAGGGGGAAGGGAGAGACAGAGAGAGAAAGGGAGAATAACAAAGAGAGAGGAGAGAGCACCTGTCCCAATGCAGTTCCCTTGGTGGGTCTACACCAGTTCCTCTGCTTTAGGAGGAAAGGTAGCATGGTTTCTGCAAGCATAAGTGATGCTTAGAGGAAAATTAAACCATGAATGATGGCGGGGCCGATTATTCTACTGTGCTTTAGAGGCAGGAGACTGCTGTCTCGAGTCCAAAGTGGTTTCATATGGACGCCACAGCTGCGGTTTACTCTCGAAACTATAACCTGTCAAATTAGAAGCAGGCAAGGCCTCTGCTCTTAATGGTCCCACTTTCTACTTCTACTGTCTACAGTTTTGCCTACAAGTCTATCATTTTTATTCCGCTCAACTATGTCATTTGGATGAGTAAAATATGGAAACTACTTGTCATCTTGGCAGGAGAAGATTCTAGCATGTTGCAGGCTTTAAGAAACCGTCAGTTTTGGACTTGCTGTCTAGATAAGGCTGACTTCAACTGTAAGTGTCCTTACCGAGTCTGCTGCTGTTTCACTGTCCTGCTCGACACCATGCAGTGTATAGTACAATACCAGAAAGTGGTTCATATGTGTGAGCACTAGAGCTGTTTTTGTTTCCGGAGTCTTGACTGACTTCACTGAGTCAACGTCCTTCCAGCTCCACTCTGTTATTAGGAGCCTAGAGTTACAGAATGTTCCACCCTGATTCCTTCCCTTAACTGTGGAATGGTCTTCAGGCAATTTACTGATTTAGCTGAGATCTGTCCTAGTGAAATTGAAAAGTCAGATGTTCCACTTTACATATAATTTTCATAGAATCCTCCTTTACTGGCTGTCTACATGCTTATCTCATGATATGAAATACTAGAAACTAAAGTACACTTTGCTCCCTAAGCAACACATCATAAGTGAAACCATTCCCTACAAAAATCATATCCTGTTGAGGCCATAATGGCATCAGAAATATGTGTTTATCATCTGCTTTAGACAACTTAGCATATTTTTGGCCCACGGCAAAGTTGAAGTAAAACCATTTGTAGTTGCCTCAAAGCAAGATAACCACACTTTCCTAGGTAATTGATACCTAAGAGGGTACTGCCTTTAGATCACAGCCCAAGATCTAGGCATGCTAATTCTTTAAAGAAGGTTGTTAAATTTACAATGCATGGATGTCAACAGGGCTTCCTCCAGACTCAATGTGAAATAATCCCCGCTTTAGTACACATAGAGACCACAATGAGACAGGCATTTAAAAATTCCCTTGGAATTCTGGAATTACCTCTCATGTCCAATTTAAGGAGAAGGGGGAAACTGAGACTCCTTTTTGAATGTAAAAGCATAATAGTCATAGTGAGAACTAAGAATACTACTGTGTGTTTTGGAAGGCACTCAAATGAAATCAATCATGACTTTCATTTTTCCTGGAGTGTATTTAAAGAAGCAGTGATTTAAAGTATAGATAGCTAAGGTAAATAGAAGACATACAATTTTTATATTCATTGTGAAAACATGTATATGGAATGCAAATATGTCACTTGCTTTCTGTGACAGTGATGTAAAGCATATAGCTTCCCTGGACACCACCTTAGTCAGTGAGGCCAACCGCAGCCGCCAACAGCAATCTGCAAGGCAGCTCTTCACTCTCTGTGCCAAGACAAAAGCACTAAGAATTACCTTTGCCTTGGAGGCAACTGGATAATTTGGGGAAAAAAAGTTAAGTAAATATTTAATGTAAAGTAGCCTGATGGGATAAAATGTAACAGTTAAGGTCAGATCCAGAGGAGAGAATGCTCGCAATTTCCAAAGAAGAAAACAGAGAATCAAAACTCAACATGTTTCTCAAAGCCAAGTGTGGAGGCAAAGCTTCCCTTCCCAGGGCTGGCTCCTGAGCATGCTGCCCAGACAAGGCCACTGATCTGACCTGTCAGGCAAAAGTCAAAGACACAGGACAAGAAGGTGGAACCACAGGCACAATGCTGGGCAGTTACTGCTGGGAAACAGGAATGTACCATACCTCCATTCTCTCCTGTTTAACATCATCAAGTTCGTTGTCCTCAAACATGGCCAGAAGCTCTCCTGTCTGGTCAATAGAGTTGATCAAGTCCTGAGCAATTTTCTGTCTCTTGTTTGTACTGCTGCTGCCACTCAGTTTTTCTTGATGAAGGTTAGAAAAGAGAACAAAAGGTACTGAGCAGGGTACCTTAGCATAAATTAGGATACATAGCAAACAGTACATGTGAAATTCACTCACAATCATCTTTATAGAGAAAACTCTAGTCTCTAAAACAAGTCACACAGAAATCGATCACAAAATAAAAAATAGAATCAAATCACATTATTAATTACCATAGTAAGTGTAAAAGGGCTGACTGAATCACGTATGAAAGGAAGAGGGGCTCTCAGGTTTGGCAAAGAATACTATTCCATAGTACTTACAAGAGAAATAAAATGCAACTAGGAAAGAGAGTGTGCTAGGTAAACACAAGCAAAGAAAGCAGAATTCATAACTATTAATGATAGAAAACACAGCTAGGACCAAACTGTTACATCAGACAGCGTGAAATATTATCTAAAGAAAATGAATACTAACAGGCCCACTTTTATAGAACCAAGATAACAGACAGAAAAATACTGAAAAAGGGATCCTATTAAACAGTGTAATCAGCAAAAGATACTTGAATGTATTTCTTCCAAAATTTGACAACTTAGGTTAAGGCCATAAAAAACCCAAGTGCTTCAGAACCTATATGTTAAGCACCCACAGAATCAAGGGAGTCTATTTTTCAAGTCATTTTCTTCTGAAATAAAAATTTTAGTGTACACATACATATACTCAGCAATGCCTGGGGATGTAGCTGTGCAAGAACCTGTGCCAGATCCCCAACATGGGGGGGGGGGGAGGACATTGCTCTCCCTCCCTTCCTCCCTTCTCTTTATGCCATCCACCAATTCCCAGCTCACAGTGGCCATCTGCGTGTACCACTAGACATTTCTCTGTGATAACATATTCACAATGTATTTCTTTACACATGTGCTTTCTTCATTTTCTTTAAAAATAGGCGCCTACAGCATTTCTTTATGAAGAGAGGTTCTTTATCCTCTCTTCTGTCCAGGTTTCCTAGTTGAGAACAGAGAAAGATCTCTCCATCTTTGTAGATAAAGTCTGATTCTTTTATAAGGCCTGCATAAGCCTCTATATCCTATAGTATCTGCTAACATGGCTTTCATGCCCATCCTCTGTTGATGGGCAGACTTTGTATCAGTTTTTGCACTGGGGAAATGCTGAAGAGGGATCTCATCCATAGGTGTGCTCTGTTCTCACAGCACAAGTTTCTAAAAGCAGACATGTTACAGACACTTCAAGTTTCATGAAAACAATTCTGATGCTGTATTCTCCTATATTTCTTCTCAGAACTCCAGCAAATGTCTGATGAACCAAAGTGAAATACTGCAAAGTTGACCCCATAATCACCAAGAGATTTCAACATCTTCTCATGTCTGCCACCTGTTTTCCATGTGTGTTTGTCTATGCCAACAAGGGTTCTTTCCCATTGCCCGGTCGCCCTCGGCCTGTCTGCTGCAGACAGAGATAACCCTTTGCTACAGAGTAATCTATGGTTTAGATTGTCGCTCTTTTTAGCTTTTGACTTCTCTCTACTTCCACACAGTGTAAAGTTAAAATTTTCAAGATTTTTCTTCAGATTTACTGTCTCCTTCATTTTGTTTTTCATCTTTATGCATCTAGAATTTATTTTGTATACAGTTAACACTATAGGTTCTTCTTTAGTGTCTTTAAAATATATATTACAGCGCCACTAATATGTTTTCCTGTTATCTTGAAATTTTGTCATACCTCAAATTTCTGTGTCTCAGATTCTGTTCTTGGACCTTCTAGCTTGTGCCAATCTTCCATACATAAAGTCCTCAATGACACCACAGGATGCATATATACGCTTACTCTTCTATATCATACTTTTCCAAAGCATATATAGGCATTTCTTACTCTATAGGAAAGCTATATAATATTTTTGCATGATCTCAAGAAGATGTTGTTGAAATTATAGCTAAAGCAGAATAAATTTATTAATTTTGGTTGAACTGATTTTATATGTTTCAATTCCTGTTTTTTCTTGTTATAGAAACTCCTAATTTTATCTGTTCCTGTAGTCAATGTTAATGGATGCTCCCCATGTTAATTCAAAGGACTATTTTCCTTGAGTCCTACAGGTGACTGAGCAAACCACTGTGATGTTCACCACATTGTTAGGATGCTCATGTTGATCTCCAAATATTAAGTAATATGCTTCCTAAGTAGCTAAGATGGGGACTATTATCTATATACAATTAAAGATTAGTGAACTGAACCCTATCAGGTATATATTGTTACTTAAAGTGCAAAAGTAAACTTTCTGGCAAATTTCACTTTTTAAAAAAAGTATTTTGTGTATACAGTAAAAAAACAACAACAACAAAAACAACTGCTGACACTCCACTCAAAGGAAATAAGATCTAAGCACACATAATCAGACATTTTGCTAGTTTATTATTTAGTTGCTATATGTGTGTTACACTAAACCAGTGGTTCTTAACCTTCCTAATGCTGCAACCTCTTAATACAGTTCCTCATACTGTGGTGCCCCCCCCAAACATAAAATTAGTTTCAGTGCTATTTCATAACTGTAATTTGGCTTCTGTTATAAATCATAATATAATATCTGCTATGCCACCCTGTGAAAGGAAAGTTCGAGTCACATGTGGATCGTGACCCATAGGTTGAGAACTGCTGCACTAATCAGCGTGTGCCTTCTATAATCTTTATTCCTAGTGGTGTTTTAATATAAAATTCAGAGTAGAATGCTAATATTTTCTCTTTTGTTTTCTTCACATTTTTACATACATTCATCAAACACTTACTGGGTACCTCATTTTGCAGTCTTCTCATTTATTTTATGTTGACAGTTGTGATATTTATTTCTTCCTTCATTTTTTTTTACATTAATTCATTCTTGTTGATAAATCTTCCATTTCTTCTCTTTGGTAATTTGGAATTTTAGTATATTTTTCCATTCTATTAATGTTTGCTTTTTTCCTCTGTATTTTCATTATTAAGTGTCCTGCTTTTCTTTCCTTTTCGGGTGTGTACTGCATGTGTCCCTGGTGCATTATGCACACATGTGCACTAGTGTGACTGCCTGTATGTGTGTGTCCATGCCAAAGGCATCAACAGTCCTCCCCTACTGCTCTTTTCTGTGGTCCTTTGAGGCATGTCGCACTCTTTTGTTCTTAAGATAAAACTACTGGAGCTGGGGATATAGTTCTATGGGTAAGGTGCTAATCATGTGGGCCTGAAGGCCTGGGTTTGGATCCCCAGAACTACATGAAAGTTGAAGCAGTAGTGTGAACATCTGCAACCCCAGTGCTCAGTACAGCTCTACCAGGAGCTGGAAGGTTTAGACAGGAACTCCAGAAACTCAGACCTACTAGGTGAGTACATGCAACAGTGAGCACGCTGGGAATAGGGAAAGGACTGATACCCAAGGTTGCTTTCTGACTTCCACACATGTGCCATGGCATGTAGGTGTCTGTCCTACACACACACACACACACACACACACACACACACACACATATACACACCACGAGACAAAATTATCACCGTATTCATTAATATATTTATATAGTTGTATTGATCTGAGGGCCCTGGCATGGAGGATGAACTCTACAAGGGAGCTACGCCCCTAGCAAGTTCAAAAGCAAAATATAACTCAGAAAGTTATTGAAAGGGTCATAAAAGAGTCATTAAATGTTGTAGTGGGTGGTTAATATAGATTAATAAATAAAGTTATCAATGAGACTTAGAGAGTGAGAAAGAACTAAAATATTTTTTATTTGACTAATGATGGTTATGCATATAAAGTCTCAAGCATTGCCATATATAAGTATCAATTATCTGGTATTTGCTATGAATATGTTAATAAATGATTAGAATGATAAGTATGCTTATAATGAAAAAATAATTTTAGAAAACTTTTTCATACTTATGTGCCTGCTAAATTAAATCCTTTAATGAAGACAGAAGTAAATGCAACTCTAACCAAGGTATTATTAACAAATCCATGTTATGTTTTCAGGGTAGAGTCTGGACATAGATCTTCATACAGCAGATAACTCTTATGACAAAAAACCCCAGTTGAAGCCAGAAGCTAATGAAACCAACGCTGGAGGATTCTAGGCATGAAGCCCATACAAAATCCTAAAGTCCCTTAAAGCATTATGAGATCATGTGTATGGGTGTGAATGTTTGTGTGTGCACATGTACATGTGGGTGTGATTTTCCTTTTGATTGTCTAGAAGCATAGTAACCTTTACAGAAGACACTTTCCTACTGCAACTCTAGGAGGTCTGACAGACTGCTCTAGATGATTCCCTAGTACAACCCGCTGGTTCCGGTCCAGGCAACCACTCCAGGTGGTTTTCATTCTGTTGCTACTTGAAAATCTGGAATATGTGAACTTTGTGATGTTCTTCTACTTCATCCACATAAGAGCATGGCAGGGTCCAGTTCCACTTTCTTGCCCAAAATACTTCCTGCATTAATATTATCTATTTATTTGTGTCTGTATATGTTGGCAGATATTGGGCCGACTCTAGTTTTCTACTGTGAAAGATGCTGCTTTTTATGTTCAAGTGAATTTTTTTTGTGGACATTTCTCTCCATTTAGCTTTATTGGGTGTTGAATGGCTGGTTTACTTTTTCTGTTATTTATTTATTTATTTTTTTGAGAAGCTTCTGGGATGTTTTCTGAAGTGCCTGCACCATTTTGCCCTCCCTCCTCCTAGCATCAAAAGCTAAAGCTCTCCACAGCCTCAACCATATTTGCCTTCGTCTATCTGTTTAGTTACAGACATCCTGGTAGGCGAGGAGCCATCATTTATTGCTGATTTGCATTTGCACTATGGTTCAGGACACTGGCCATCTTCTCTGGCATCTATTAGTTAATCCTTTATTTCTGCTGCAAAGTTATCTCAGATCTTTTGTTCATTTCTTAAGTGATTTATTGTCTTCACTATGGAATTGAAGAGTTCTTTACACATTTGCCAACAAATTCCATAGCAGAGATATGTATATAAGATTTCCTTATTCTGTTTTTTTCTTTTGATTACTCTTTGAAGCATACTGAAGTCTTTAAACTTGATCAATGCTAATTCAACAGTGGCTTTTTTTGCTACTATGCTTTTGGTGTCATGTATTTAAAACACCATTCTTATACAAGGTTATCAATAGTTCTGTTTTTCTTTTAAAAACTTTATATTTTGACAGGCCAGAAATAGCTCCATAGGTAAAATGCCTGCCATCAAACCTGATGACCTAAGTTCAACCCCAGGACCCACATAGTAGAGGGAGAGAACCAATTACTGTAAATTGAATTCTGACTTCTTTCACTCACCAATGAAATACACAGCCCCATACATACTTATATAAAACAAGTAAATAAAGATATAATGGAAATAAAAATGAATTTTGTATTCTGGGTTGTTACAGTGAATTCTCAATGACTTGTACTTAGGTATTTCCTTCTTTTGTTTTGGGGGCATATTGTACTATGAAGGGATCAAATTCTTTCTTTTCTATGTAGATCTCTAGAGGTCTCCAGGTAAAGGAGCTGTTGACTCCACATGGCACTGCAGTGCAAGCCCTGCCAGGCATCACTCTGTGAGTCCCACTTGTGCCCTGAATTCTGATCATCCACTGACCAGCATGGATCCTGTGAGTATCGGGGCAGATTTATAGACAGTTTTGAAGTCAGCAAGTTTGAGTCCTTTAACTTTGCTGCTTGTTGAGATGGGTTTGACTACTCTGGATCATGTACAAATTAGAAAAATGACTCTTTTCATTTCTAGGATCTGACATTTACACATGAATGACAAAATCAGTATGCTCATCTCAACAAAAGCTGGTGAGATCTATATATAGCTCCAGTTGAGGTTATTGCTTTAACCATTCTAAGTGTTTCAGCTGTGAACACTGGTTATTTTTGTATTTCTTCTCCATCTTTGCACAACAGTGATTTCTAGTTTCCATGTAGAAATCTTGTAGGTCACTGGTGAAATTTATTCCAATATAGTATATTCTTCATGATGGTGTTATACATGGCATTGTATAAGGAATGTGTACTCATTTGCTTTGTTTTACATATTTATCTTGTATCCTGAAAATTCATGAATTTGTCCACCAATTAAACAGTTTAGTGGATTAAGATATTTTTCTATATAAAGACCATGTCAGATGCATACATAGCTTTACACCTTCCTTTTTAACATGGGTGTTTTCATTTCCTTTTCTGCAAAAACATACACTAAAACCTTTGTACAATACTGGATAAAAGAGAAACAAGTGCATATTTTTGTCTTATTCTTGATGTTAGGGAGGAAAGAACCCAGTCTTTCTCTGTAAGTGTGCTGTTTCCTTCGGGATTTTCTTTGTCAGTATAAACTGCTATAAAATATATTGCAGACTAGGAAGTTCAAACAATAAACAGGCTGTGGCACCTAGGTCAAGGTGACCTGGTATCTAGCAAAGGCCTCTTTTTAAGAGATAGGATATGAGTTCTGGGTTCTGGGTGTCTCTTTTTAGAAGTACACTGATCCTAACCATAAGGGTTCTCCTTTTATGATCTAATAACTTCCAAAAGGTCCCAGATATCTTCTCTCATGGCTTTCATGATCAGCTCTGTCTTTACTAAACTGTGTTATCAGTACAGTAAGTATGAGTTTGTCCTAATGGAATTTGTTAGTTTGTTTAGATACTTGAATATGTGTTTAACAATTTTCTTAAATCTTAAAAGTTTCTATCCACTATTTCTTGGGATATTTTTTCTGATTCCCTCTCTTTTGTTTTGTTTCTGATTCCCTCTCTTTTGTCTGATTCCCTCTCTCCTCCTCCTTTCCTTCTGATACATTATAGTGATGTATTAATGTACTATATATGTATGTACTGGTGTATTACTATACTGTATACTTCTCTTCTGTATAATATATGCTAATGTATTAACATACTGTAAACCTCTTCTCTTCTGATATTGTATATGCTGATGCATTAGTATAATTTATACTGCTCTTCTGATATAATATATGCTGATAAATTAGCATATTGTATACGCCTTCCCTTCTGATATAGCACAAGCTGATGTATTAGTGTACTGTATGCCCCTGCCCTTCTGATATAGCACATGCTGATGTATTAGTGTATTGTATAGCCCTTCCCTTCTGACATAGCACATGCCGATGTATTAGTGTACTATAAACCTCTTTCCTTCTGATATAGCACAAGCTGATGTACTAATGTACTGTATACCCCTTCCCTTCTGATATAGCACAAGCTGATGTATTAGTGTATTGCATAGCCCTTCCCTTCTGACATAGCACATGCCGATGTATTAGTGCACTATAAACCTCTTTCCTTCTGATACAGCACATGCCGATGTATTAGTGCACTATAAACCTCTTTCCTTCTGATATAGCACAAGCTGATGCACTACTGCACTGCATAGCCCTTCCCTTTTGACATAGTATTTGCTGATGTTCTTAATAGTGCCCTGCATTTCACTGAAGCTGTCAACTTTATTAGTTTTTACAATTCTTTAGACTATATAATTTTTAATGTAAACTCATTGGCTCTTCTACCAGTTCAAAGCTTCTGTTGTGCTAGCTTCCATCTTCCTATTGCTCTTTAATTAATTAATTTTGTATGTGGACTGTACGTGTGCATGCCATGGCATTTTTATCAGAGGATTAACTGCTAGGAATCTGTTCTTTCTCTCCACCATCTGGTTGAGCTTGGATCACCAGGCTTGGTGCAAAGTTTTGCCTCCTGAGCTATCTCACTTACTGTATTTACATTTAAACTCCATTATTATATATTTTGTATTTAATCTTTCTTGATACTGTATATTTTGTGAGGCATGGTTTTCATACTTTCATGTTATTCTCTGAATACAATTTTACTTTTTGAACACACTATAATATGAGTTTGAATTTCTTGTCCTGTTAAATCCAACATCTGGATTCCCAAAAGGCAATTTTTGTTATCTACTTTTCTTGTTCTTTTTTTTCCTTCTACAGATCATATCTACCCGTGTCTTTACACACCTAGTGTTTTGCTGTGGTTGAAAATGGACATTTTAGATGATATACCACAGTAACCCAGGCAACCATCTCTTCCTTTTGGTGTGCTTGTCCTTGATTGTTTCTTTGTTTAGTGAGTTGGCTAGACAGGGCCAAGCGATCTCTCTCTAGTGTGATCATGTCTCTCACCTCCCTCATGGTGCAGACGTGTGTGTGCACTCTCTTTCATCACTAGCTTTACAGTGCCTTTCTTTGGCTCTCACTTTCAAGCTTCCCATAAAGCTTTGGGCTGATCTGACAGAGTACCACACAGAAGTGCTAATTCCCAGTAATTGCAAGCTGGATTGGAATGCTTTGCTTTCAGAGACTTATCATTTTACATGCTATATAAGTTTGCGTGTGTCTGCATGTGGGTATGTGCATGTGAGTGCAGGTACTCTCAGAGGCCAGAGGCCTTGGGTTCCCTGGATCTGGAGTTACAGGTGGTTGTGAGTTGCCAGACATCGGTGCTGGGAACCAAACTCAGGTCCTCTGAAACAGCAGTAAGTGCTCTTAGCCTCTGAGTTACTGCTTCTGATTAATAATCCTGGGAGTAAAATCTCCACATTTTAGTGGGCTAGTGTTGATCCCTTTGCTTTGCTGTTCCTAGTCATTCCTCCCTGTCTCCTCTGTTGAGCTGGCCACTCTTTTGCTTGTTGCTGTATAGTAAATCTCCTAGCCTTTAGTTTGCTGCCAGGACTGCCACTTAGAGGTCCTAGGTATGAACTTCCACATGGTCTGCTCCAAAGAATTTCTTTAAGGGGACTTGCTGAGTTCCCAGCTCTTATGGTCTGCCTCTTTCTGAACCTTGGTAGCATACTAAACCAGTTGGGAAACAGTGTCCACTGTAAAAAGAAGGGGCTGAGATACCTGGGTCCTATGAGGTTCCAGAGGAGAAAATCACAAGGTTAAATTGCAACAAGTGCCAAATTGTATTAATGAAAAGAAACCCCTGAGAAGAACTTCCTCACACACCCTCTGGGTGCCTGAGCTGACTCTTTTGGGCTAGTGTTTTGTTTAGTTACCTTCCAGGAGGTCGTCCTCGTCAATGCCTTTGATGATCTTTGATTTGTAGTCTCGGATAAACATGTATTTTAGAAGTCTTCTTAGTTTTTTCTATTGGGATATAAAGTAAAAAGTTTATAATACATTTTCTTTACTAATAAAAGATTGCTTTAAGAATTAAATTTAATAAGCTAGTATCTGGTGATCATTGGGGAAAATAGAGCTATCATTAGCTTAATAGTATAAGCAAAACTGTAGCCCTTCAAAGACAGCTAAAATGAAAGAGTTTATAAAGGCATTCTCACATGCATCCATGCAGACATTCCAGAATCACAATAATACTTTTTTGTATATTTTAGAAAACATCTTAAATTCCTTTTGATGATTTCAATAAATACCATATTCCCCTTGGTAAGCCAAGTGTACTTAGACTTTGGAATTTTGAATATACTCTAAGACAAAAATTATGTAAAACTGATTTATAAACATCTAGAGTAGAAATTTTTAACAACTCATTTTTATATTTAATTTTTGAGATAAGACCATGTTGTTAGCCCAGGCTGAACTTGAACTTGTGATCATCTTGCTTCAGCCTACCTAGTGCTGAAGTAAAAGGCATGCACCAGCAGACCTGGCCTGAGAATCTTTTCATAGGACAGTTATGGAAAGTATCTATAAGCTGAGAATCTTTGAGGAAACTCAAAGCCCGCGAATGATTGATAGGTTTCAACGATGGTCTTCTGGGGATTTAGAAGAGGATGCTAGCAGCACTTAACTTTAAGAAACTAATAATGCCCTGCAATGTATTCGCTAGACGCTAGAACGCATAACCTCTGGTTCACGATCTCCAGGCTTCAGATTTCTAACAGTGGAAACACTGTACAAAGCTCTTTACATAAACATCACTCAACATTTTTAGTCTCCCTGAATCAGAAACAAATCTAGCATCTCCTTTTATAGAGGGACCCTGAGGCGAACTACAGACTGATGACTGAAGCTCAGCAGGGCCTGCAGTAGAGGACAGCCTCGGAGTCAATGCTGTCATGTCCAAGTCAAGGAAAGACCCCACCTCACAGACCTGCTGCCCAGGCGTCCTGAGAGACCAGGGGAGACCTCACCGCAGAGAAGGTCTTAGAGAAGGCACCGCAGGTGGTAGAACTACAAACTCCAGCTACTAAGGAACAGCTGGACTGCACCCCAGGGCACTCGTCTTCATTTGTTTTTTTTCTCTTCCCTTCACTACACCCATCATTTTAGTTCTGTTCTGCTTAGTATTTTTCCTCTATAAGCTAGTTTACATTCATTTTGGAATACTTGAGAATGCTAATAAAATAATTTGAGAAAGATGAGGAAACAAACAACAATTCTGGTATAAATATGTTGTTGGTTGTTCAAAAATATTCTGGTAAGAGTCCTGGACACCAGAAAAGCACCATCAAGTGGCATACATTCTGGAAGCTTATAAATGGCCATCTTCCTAACAAGGGGAAGGAATGCCAGAGCGGACTGTGAGCGCTTCTCTCTTTACTTTTGTCAGTGAAAAGGAAATACAGGCAAGACATGCTGGGGAGAGCTAAGCAGTGTTGTTATTTCCTGGCTGCTCCTACAGGGACCATTCCTAAGGGGCTTATTGTTGCCAGCAGCCTTCAGGACTCCCTGGATGCAGCCCCATGTTGGGAGCTGATGGCTGCTTCTTCTTAAGGACCCTCCAAGTACAGAACAAACTGGCAATTCCTACTAAGCCTCTTCATGTCTCCATAAAGTGCCTTTTCCCAGCCATGCCCAAAGCCACCATAGTATCTATGCAAAGGTCAGGTTCCTGGCCTTTGGTCTATGCTCTATCAGGCCTCAGGAGCCTCACCCCTGTCATAATCCTTCACTGCACCAACCCTCCCTCCCCTTCTAATCATCCAACCCATGAAATTCTCCAAGTTTTAAATGCTTCAAGTATATCACATAGATTGCCTTAAGCAGACGCCAAGCTTTTTGATATTGAATGCACTTCTTTTTCTTCTTTACATATTCTTCATATTAATAAACAGTTGGTTGATTACAACAGGTAAAGTAGCACAGAATTTATTTAACTAGCTACTTAAGGAAAATTATGACATAAATAGACATATAAATATCAGCTTTAATGTCTTAATATCCAGAGTTCAGAGTTTTTATTTAAAAATCAAAATGATATTAGTTTTTAAGCTATGTGCATTAATTTGCTTATTTTTATAAGTCAGTGTAGAGAATAAACTTTGTATTTCAAATTAAAATCAATTCAGTTAAAGTCTGAATTCTATTAGTATTAAGGTGCAAACAGAGAAGAAAAGGAAATGTGCTACTTAGAGCGACCCTGTGTATAAGAACAGAGATTAGTTGGTACCTAGGGGACATAGGACAGCAGTGAAAATATCTGAACAAGCACCAGGAGTAGTAAGATTAACTGCAGTGCAGTACTGGCACCAAAGATCTGTTCATGTAAAAAGCAAACAACTTTTGTAGTAAATGCATTCTGTTGTGCACATCGTAAAAGCTAAACATTGCTTCAGTAGTTATAATTCTCATTTGAAAACTGTAACAAGGGCCCATCACTTCCTTCTGTAAGTTCAATTAAGATCAGGCTTCATGTTTAATCCAATGGAATTATTTTGTAGTACCTTATCTTTTCTCATCAAGAACAGAAGATCTTCAGCAGAGATCACCCTTGCTCCCCTCAGTTGAGAGACTTCTGCAGCTTGCTGTAACTACAACAAAGAAAACGCAGAAATTGTCTTAGAAATATAAATTACACATGGTACAATCACAATGTCTCAAGAGAGATAAATCCACTACAATAAAGGCCTCAGGGAATAATTCAGCAATCATGTTATTGCTTTTTAAAGCAAAACTCCCTATGCTTTAAGATATCCAAAAATGCAATAAATTAGTTTATGAGACCACCTGTAATAGATACAATAAACAGAAATCCGTCATTTCTTTCATGCAAAAGAAAAATCATATGCAGCTTCCAGAAATACATTAATACACATGAAAATGATTTTATGAAATTTCATCCTTCCTACCCATGTGTGCAATGGTTTCGCTCAGTATCACTAGTTGAATAAGTATATTATTAATCTGAGCTCCCATGCTGGTATGATGTGAAATAGCCCCATTCAGGACTTTAAAGATCAACAAAAACAGAAGCTGTTTCTAATATCCAAAGGAAAAAAAAATACTTTTCACTTTGGCAAGTCTTCAGTGGCTAAAGGATTCAGTCCATAAATCATAATACTGGACGGCATTAATTTCTTTCCACACTAATTACACGCACACAAAAGTGAACTGTATCTGGGATGCACAGAGCAAAACACACCGCCTGCAAAGCTAGATCCCCTGAATGTCCATCTGGGCCTTCAGAGTTGCAAAGCTGAGAGTTTTCAGGAATTCAGAAGCCCTAGAAACATAATCTTACTTGAAAATGACCTGGAAAATAAAAGAATGTGAAAAATGATAGTTCTCGTTTTTGGCAAAGGCAAACTCAGTTTCTTATTTTGATTAGCTGGAAGGAACATAAAATAGGTCCATCTGAAAAAAATCAAGACGCTGGAGCACATGTGAGAAAAATGTGCCTGTAAATTCTTCCAAATTCGATCAAACCATGCTGATTGCATAAAACCAACTACCCCATCTTAAGTATTATAAACATATTTACATATGAAAGCTGCTCTCCCACCCCCACCATATGCCTTCCTTTGAATGGAGTAAAACAACAACACACACCCCTGAGAACTGGACACACTGCCACTGTCGCCATCGGAAATTAAATGGTCATCTGTGCGGAAGGACCTCTGCCTGAATGTTTAAGTCATTCTGCTCACTAAATAAGCTTCCAACTATTTCAAAATGAGCAGACTAGAGAACGGCTCTCAACTCTTCCTGTGTCGGCTTTCCCACTGGATTTCCTGAATACTGGTACTTGGGATATATACAGAATCCTATCTAAATATAGAATTTAAATTTAACTGTGAGCCATTTAAGAAGAAACCTAAGGAGGGGTTGAAAAGATGACATGTCTCCCCTGAAAGAAACTTAACAGTTTTCATCATGAACACGCTTTCCCTTTTAAAACTGTTAGAATGTCAAGGAAATGTTTATATATCAATTTTTCAAATAAAAATATTTCCATCACAGCCTTAGATGCATTCAGGCAGTGAGGCAACTATGAGACACATATCCATTTCTCTGGACACATACAGAGAGAACTAGGGAACAGTACATAAATATATTTTTATTTTCACAGATGAAGAAATGGTGCCTACATGAAAAACTATCGACATCAGAAATGATAGTCGTGCCAACAAAGGAACAGGTGAAATATGTGTCTCTAATAGGTTCCCCAGTAAATCAAAGGTTATCCATACACAATGATCTCTAAAATACTCTCTAAAATGTCAGATTGCAAACGCAATAACCAGAAATGTAATAAAGACAGAAGAGCTGAACATCTTGTACCATTTTTCAGAATCAATTGATGTGTGTGTGTGTGTGTGTGTGTGTGTGTGTGTGTGTGTGTGTATTTTTTCCTTGTAAAGACAGGGTTTTATTATGTAGCCTGGATGGCCGACTCTAGTCTAGACTGGCCCTGAACTCAGAGGTCCCTTTGCTTCTGCCTAGTGAGTGCTGGGATTAAAGACAGCCTACTACCACAACCAGCTCACCGTGAGCTTTTCTAATTTCCCTCATCTAAAGGAACACTGTCTACCACTCACACTATGAGCATTCCCACTGCCTCTGGCCCTACAGTCTGGACCTGCTTAGGACTGATATGTTCTGGGCTCCAGAATTACCTCTCCTAAATGCTCATCTCTTTTCCAGTAAGGAAGGAGAGGAATTTAGTGGCTAATTAAAGTAAACCATATGAACATATGTATTACACATTGGCTTAATCTCCTAAAATTTCTATGTCTACCAACACGAGTGAAACACAATCTTCATTAAGTGGTATGAAGTACAAGTTGGCACCTTGGCACTGCAGATGCATGGGTGCACAGCTCATGGTCACTGTGGCCACATGAACACAAGGGGCCTGACATCAGGATGTCCCTAATGTTTCAGTGTGAAGGAAAGTTGATTGTGTACTCATTCTAAATTTTTTAAAATGTATTTTTATTTAAAAAATTCGCATACAAGGGATTAGATATCCTTATGCATTTTTGAACAAAGTGTTTCAGTGTTCCTCTTCCTCATCTCTCTGCTGCCTCTAAGTTCCCTTTCTAACTCTTCCATACCCAAGTCTCTCTTCCTCTTTTATGTTCCTACCCTCATCCTTCCTCATCACCTATTTTTTCTTTACCACCTCTTGGTATCTTTTCTAGTATAAAAGCCAGGTGACCCAAACTCAGAAGACAAAAGCTGCATGTTCTCTCTGATACACAACTCCTGGCCAGCATTGTGCACATGTATATATGAAGAAATGGGTGTTAATAAGAATAAAATGCAATGTTTTCCATTTATTTATTTGTGTGTGTGTGTGAATGTGGGCACACAGGATGTGTGTGTTTGAATGTGGGCACACAGGATATGTGTATGTGTGTGTGAGTGTGAAAATGTGGGCACATAGGATGTGTATGTGCATGATGTGAGAATGTGGGCACACAGGATGTGTGTGTGTGAGAGAGAATGTGGGCACACAGGATGTGTGAGTGTGAGAATGTGGGCACACAGGATGTGTGTGTGCGAGAATGTGGGCACACAGGATGTGTGTGTGTGTGTGTATGGGGGCACACATGCAGAAGTTAGAGGACAATCTGAAGGAGTTCGTTATCTCCTTCAACGACATGTGCTTCAGAGATTAAATTCAGGGTGTCAGTCTTGGGGACAAGGCCCTTCCCATGCTGAGCCATTAAACTGGCCCATAAACCTCTACTTTTATGAAATTATTTGCATTCTTAATTTGCAAAAATAAATGGAAGCTAAATTTTTCTGGCAATGATCAAATTACTATGAAATAATACTACATTTTCTGTTTTTTTACAACAAATATTTAATTGTACAAAATAGGCTAGAAATTGTGGCATAGACCAATACTTTAAGCCTAGTGATTAGTTTAATAATCAATTGACTTTTCTTAACTTGGCAAAATTGGTACTTGGGAATTTAGTAAACTATTTTTCAGAAAGACAACATAATTCTACCATGAGTGTAGTTCAGTCAAGGTGTTTCCATCTCTTCAGATCAGGACTTTTGCTCAGAAAAGGGGTGGTTGTACTTGTTACAACTATTGAAAAGATAAAAAAAAAAATCACCCAACTTAAAACTCAATGTTTGTATTTTAAGTAGTTCAGAATACTTTATTAGGAGGCTGATCCTATTAAAGGGTACAATGGATCACACATGCTATCTCAAGTGTATCTTTTGTTTGTTTTTTTAAAAAACAGGTTCTCTGCATCATAGGTTACCCTAGCCCCAACTATGTAGGCAAAGCTGGTTTTAAACTTGATTCTCCTGCCTCAGTTTCCTGGGTTTGGGGATTATTGGTATATGCCACATCAAGTTTAATCTTCCATTATATAAACAAACATTTCAACTTCTCACTATCGCCAATGACACTAATGTGGGATTTCTCGCACTTGTTAACGTTTTCAGCAAAGCTTGATATTTTATTGGTCTGCCCAGGGCTGGGACTATGCATTCTACTCCACAGTGTTCATCCTAATTCAGGCCATGGGGGATTTTTATTGACTGGCTTCTACATTTCAGTGTCTCCAAATGATCATATGCCATGGATTTACTAGCTATAACCATCTTCTTAGTAGTATAGTTATTATATACTGAAATTGTGTCAAGTATAAATATTAAATTCCAGTTAAAATTTTTTCTAGAAAGCATATGACAGAAAAAGTCAAATGTAGTCAAAGTGTTATTACTCGCAACCACTTTCAACTCTTGCTCTCATTAGAAATAAACTGAATCTACTGAAATAAATTTACAAGGCTTTACTTTCAGTTTAACTATCATAAACTGACTTACTATGAGGCTGATGATTTGGTGATCTCAGAGTCTCTGAATTTAACAACTATCTTCCTCTCCATCAGATTTTGCCTTTCTGTTGAACATAAAACTGGTACTTGCTCATTGACTATATAAACATTGTCAATGGCTTAGCAGGATGATCAAATTTATCTTTAGAATTTATTTTCTTGGTTGTCCTTGAAGTTAATAATTACCTTGTCTCCCTTTCTTTTCCTGGCTTACTATTCTGTGAACCTGCTAGCACTGCATGCAAGACCTGGGCACCATGCACCCATTGGCACTGCTGGCACCCCATGCAAGACCTGGAAGGCTCTCACCGCTGGGCACTGCTAGGACCCAATGCAAGACCTGGGAGACCCACACCCCTGGGTACTGCTAGAATCTCATGTAAGACCTAGGAGACATGCACCCCTCAGCACTTGCTCTTCCTTCTGTGGTGCTTGCCTGCTGCTGCCTTGGAGCCTCTAGACTTCTCTCCACCTAAGCATGGGGCTCTATTTTCACTGTGCTCTTTATAACTTCACCCCCTTATTTGGATAGGACACATTCCATGAAAGATTCCTTTTTACTTTCTGAGCACAGACATAATGGCTGCCTTAAAATCCTTGTCTACTAAGTTCAGCGTCTATAGCATTTAAGAGGCCATCTTTATTGACTTTTCCTTTTGAGTATGAGCTATGCTTTGCTGGCATTTCATATTTTTCAGTAATCTGTGATTTTAGCAGATATT